CACACACGGGACGAAGGGTTATTAAATCGAGGCCGGACACTAGACAAATGAAATACTGGCAGCAGCATACACAAAGACAGAAACCCACTCGGTGCACACGCTGGCAGGAGGCGAACCAATAGTAACGGCGCACACATCCTGCAGAAGGGCCTTGCCGTTCCACGGCGAACAAACAGGTTCCTGTTGCATATGCAAACTAAAGCCACTGCAATACAACTTCCCAAATGGATTCTGCTGAAATAAGAACCAAACTTGCGTATATAAAAACTCCAGAAACGCTGCTCGACCTGGGCATTCGTTATTCATTTGTTATCTTTTTCCTCCTTTCCGCTTAACTTTCTACCCTGAAGATGTGGCCAATACGAATGCCGGCATGACTACACACGGCGTCACATCTCAGAAGACAGCAACCATCATTCAAATCCGACTCTGGATTTCCCATTCATTCATTTCCTCCTTGAAATTCTATACGATAAAAGAGGCTTAAGTAAGGAAAATTTGCAAATAGTTTGATGAGAAGACCTGTAAGGAAATCCACATTATTTGACGGGGAGTTCCACATTCAGCAGAGCTTCTTCACCAATCTGTACATTGCCCTGTCACAGGTCTAATAACCACTGAATTTGTGGTATACAGAGAAGTCACAGGTCGGATAACCACTGAATTTGTGGTACACAGACAAGTCACAGGTCGGATAACCACTGAATTTGTGGTACACAGACAAGTCACAGGTCGGATAACCACTGAATCTGTGGTACACAGACAAGTCACAGGTCGGATAACCACTGAATCTGTGGTACACAGACCAGTCACAGGTCGGATAACCGCTGAATTTGTGGCATACAGACAAATATAACACAGACTCAAAAAGTATGGAAGTATTCGGGTACTGGTCTGTGTACGGAACATGAAGTACATAAGAAACCCGCCCACGATGGTTAACCTATACAGAATATGTCGGAAACAACAAAGAAAAAGATAACGAAAAAAAAATAGTTCTGTAATTATTATCATCTTTTGCTGCATCGTGTTGTGTAAATCGCTGCAGGTAAAAATTACAAGTATATATACATGTTAAACACGAAGGCCGCGCCATAGCTCAAGCGGTTAGTCGCAGGCTTCCCACCGCGGCGGCCCGGGTTCGATCCTGGGTCTGGTCAAGTGAGATTTATTGTGGAAAAAGTGGCGCTGGAGCAGCTTTTCTCTGAGTACTTCGGTTTCCCCTGCCAATCTTCATTCCACCAATTGCTCAACAATCACCCTCACCTATCATCTGGGGCTGGTACAATAGGCCAGAAGTGGCCGCAGTACGCGGGACTTAGTCCAACCCCACTAGCAATAAAAAAAAATGTGTTAACACACTACTTCCAGCAGGAAGAGCAGAATAACGTGTGTAGTGGCGTCTGTGTGAGTTCAGTGGCGCACATTTACACAAAACGTTCAATACCTACAACTTTAGCAAAATAACTACAATGTTAAACAAATAAAAAACCAACAGGTTACAGTATATAACTTACGGTTAGCAATTGGCTATGGGCTAGTAAGGGCAAGACTTTATTCTACCTCACGTCGTTCAGATCGGTTCTCGGGCCCACCATGCCTGCCCTATCCTATGGGTACCGCGGGCTATTTCCCCGCGGGTAAAGCGGCAGGAGCGCGACACTGACAACTCACCTCCAACTACTGTCGAGGTCAAGATTAATCCACTCTCCCATGTCATGGTCTAGTGCTTAACTAGCTAAGCACAGTGACAAATTTTACATGACGAAATAATTGAAATAAAAAAAATCGGATTTTGAAGATAGCATACATGTAAAAAAAACACGGTCTTAGACATAAAACTTCACCTGCTGGAAATAGTGTTGTGTTGCCTGCAATATATTGTATGAGGGATATTCAGCAAGTAACCTCCGCTTACTTTAGGCAACTAATATAGGAGTGGGGGAGAGCTCGCGCATGCGAGGTAGCGTCACATGACATTTTCGTAAACCACCTGATATTTGTTCTTGTCTCTACAGAGTGACTTATGATGTGTCCTTCAATTGATAGGTACACCAGCTGTGAAATTCGCACTGTTATCTGCTTTCTTTACGCAAAAAACAAAAGTGATGTGGAAATCCATCGTGATTATGTCCAGTTAACAGCCAAAATGTAATGAGTGAAGGAACGGTACAACAAAGCGGCCTCCGTAGTCTAGGGGTAACGTTCCCACCTCATGACTCAAGGTACGCGTGTTCAAACCCGGCGGAGGTCGTGGAATTTTTAAGGGCGGAAAAATTCAGGGACTTTAAGCCGTGGGTCCCGTGTCGTAGGTTTACGGCACGTAAAGGAACCTCATGTCTCAAGGGGACCTCTGAGCCAAATTCTGGACAATTCCCGCCCAACAGTAGTCTCTAACGCCACTGGTAGAGGGGGGAAGCATCGAGATACCGCTGAGCCAGTAGAGGCCGAACTCGCTGGCTGAGTCGGGACTGATGGCACGCACCAGTACCGGTAGGGTATAGAGACTGGTAGAATATCACAGGGGGACGCACAATGGACCAATATCTGGTCTAAGTGCATGGGGAAACCCACCCTCATCAATAATAACAACAACAACAAGGGTACAACAATGATGCAGAATGCTGAAAGATGGGCCAAAATATGTTCACGACGAAGAGCGAAGTGGTCGAACATACGTAGTGAGTGATCTTGTTCAAAGTGTTGACAAAAAGTATTAAAGACGGCGCTTCAAAATTTCAGAACTTTCGTGTGAATTTCGACAAACTTCACGCACCGTTCGCTACAAGATTACAACAGTTAGGCAAGGCTATCAAAAAAAATTTTGAGCAAGATTGGTTCCCGAAAATGCTCACGGGTGCGCACAAAACAGAGAAAATGGCTTCCTTCGGCTTTAAAATTTTTAGAGCGATACCACAAAGATGGTGATGAATTTCTCAATCACATCGTAACAGGTGATAGAATCTGCAACAAGGGACCACAAAAATGTCAGAAGTGTATTCCGAAACGCCAAAGAACTGCGAAAGGCCATTCAGAACAAAATGCGTGGAATGCTGACATCCGGTACAGTGCTCCTCCATGACAATGAGCGACCGCATACAACTGCCCGCACTCGTGCACTGCTGAAGAAGCATTTCAACTGGGAGCTATTTGCCCACCATCCTTATAGACCTGATCTCGCTCCGAGAGACTACAACCTGTTTACCTACCTCAGGAACTGCGGAGTTCATGGAAAATGACAAAATATGGCGGCAGACTTCTTTGACACAGGAACACATATACCTATTCCTCGATGTGTGAAATGCCTCAATTCCGGCGGTGACTACGCTAAGTATTTTGTACAGGATTATTCAAAAAGAATGAACCGATTTCATGACGCACTGCTTCAGTTCTCAAGCATCATCATGGAATGAGTCAGTGACCATTTGAAAGTTATCTAAGTTGTGAATGGGTGCCACAGGGGTGCTGAAGTCGCGTCGTTCTTCCGGCAACCTTCAGTCGTTCGTTTACCCTCGGAATGGCGAGTCCTCAGCAAAAGGCGTTCTGCGTTCTCGAGTTCGCGAAAACAAATGCGGTTATCACGGTGCAGCGTGCTTTTCGAAGGCGATTCGGCATTAATCCGCCCTGTCCTAAGAACATTCGACGGTGGGTTCGACAGCTTCAAGAGAGTGGGTGCCTGTGTAAAGGAAAAAGTCCAGGACGACCACGAGTCTCGGAGGAACAAGTGGCGACAATCCGTGCTGCGTTTGAGAGGAGCCCGCGGAAGTCAACAGATCGAGCTAGCCGTGAGCTTGCGATCCCTCAATCCACTGTCTGGCGTGTGCTAACAGTACGTCTACATTTGAAACCATACAGACTGCAGCTCGTTCAGGCACTTACCAATGACGACAAAATGAAGCGGACGGAATTTTGCAATTCGATGCTTGAGATGAAGGAAGACGAAACCTTCATTTCACGTTTAATTTTTAGTGATGAATCGACTTTTCACTTGAGCGGCACAGTCAATCGTCATAATGTGCGTATTTGGGGAACAGAGCACCCACATGAAACAGCTGAGCACGAAAGAGATTTCCCTAAGGTGAACGTCTTCTGTGCTGTGTCTCAGGACAAGGTTTATGGTCCCTTTTTCTTTGAAGGAAACACCGTTACAGGACAAACCTATCTCGATATGCTCCAAAACTGGTTCTTCACTTCACCGCAAGCAGATTCGCATGACTTCATTTTTCAACAAGATGGAGCACCGCCCCACTGGCACCTGATGGTCCGAGATTTTTTAAATGAAAAAGTGCCCCAACAATGGATTGGTCGGAAGGGGGCCAAAGACCTTGCTTTTTGTGCTTGGCCTGCGAGATCCTCAGACCTCACCGTGTGTGATTTCTTCTTGTGGGATATGTAAAAGATCGCGTTTATGTTCCACCGCTACCCACTAACCTCGATGACCTTAAACATCGAATAACAACAGCGATTAACTCAGTGCATCGTGATATGCTGATACGCGCCTGGGAGGAATTCTCTTATCGCATTGATGTTGCCCGTGCTGCAGGTGGTGGCCACATTGAACACTTGTAAGACAGGAAATAAAAGTTGATTGTGAGCAGAAAACTTGTGACTTGGCTGGAGTTTCGTATTACTTTCCTTTAATAAAATATTGCGTAATAAAATCGGTTCATTCTTCTTGAATAATCCTGTATTTTTCTCCTCATTGCTTGTTTTGCCAACAGCTCGCCAGATGTTACGTTCCGAATAGCCCTCGTATAAAACATTCTGCTTGCCGATGATAGTAGCCGCGCGGTCTAAGGACGAAATGTCTTCGCCGTTCACACACTGGGATCTAGAGGCATGGATGTCTGCGTACATGTTCTCTGTTTGTGTTGTCCTGCGTAGGTAGCGGCCTTGCGACGGGGCTGATCGCCCGTCTAAAGGAGTCGTACAGACTCTCTATATGATTCAAATATCAGAATTCTGAATGGGAAGAGGCAGACCTACACTGCTGCTCTTACCGTTGCCAATTAGGGCCAGCTCCTCATAGTCGCCATGGTCGCGGAGGAGTGTGGAGGATTCGGCCATCGCACTGCCGCTACCAGACGAAGATAGAGCTGGCCCAGGCAGCCCTCTGCCCTCCGTTGGCGCCACCTCCGGGCCGTCCCCGGCCCCTGACACTGGACTCTGCGCAGCCAGCGAGCAAGTACGTCACCGCGCCATCAAACCACGATGGATGGCAGTCACATCACAACCTGGAAGATGAATTAAGGCAAGCTCAAATACCTAACATCACACATCAAATGACCTTAGTTATATATTTATCATAATGAGGGGGCACGCGGTAGCGTAGTTGGTTGAGGCACTATGGTACAAGCCGGAAGGTCGCGGGTTAGATTCTCGATGTGGTCACTGGATTTTTCAATTCACCTAATCCTTCCAACCGCACTATGGCCCTGGGGGTCGACTCAGCCTCGTAACAGAAATGAGTACCAGGAATCTTCCTGAGGGTTAAGGACAGCCGGCGCCTAAGGATGACAACCTTACCACCGTATATGAGACGACGGTCTAGAAAATGTGGGGGCCTTAACGTCTCACAATCCTATAGGCCTTCGCGGCCTGTTACAGGGATTGCTTTTACCTTTTTTATCACGATGTTCATGTCATTGAGTTCTGTCCCAAAATTCTTTCGTCGCCTTTCTTTCATTTGATTATTTTAATAGTCGGCTGTGTATGAAAAATTCGTATCTAGGAGTTCACTGCCGAACATAAAGCCATCGTGACTGGAATTTCGTCCGTAAATGAATCAACCACTGTTTAGATTCGACACCAAAATATAATTTCGGACATTGCTCCTTCACACGTACTAGATACCTCTTCTGGCAAAATTATTTTCTCGTACAGTACCAAAACCTTCACACAGACGTGTCTTTCCGTCTCCCTGCACTGAAGTATTGTAGGAATGGAAAAATGCACTCCTACACTCACCTCAAAGCCCACAGTCCTTCTTGAGGGTTAACATCCACTCAATCAAAAAATGCCTTCCTTTACAAAATTGTTTTAATTTCACTTTGTGGGGGGTGGAGTCCAACTGGGTCCACTCGGCACGGCGGCCGCCTGATTGGCTTATTGTATCCTGCCCCGGGTGATTATGATGATGGAGAAGTTGGTGGAATGGAGATTGACAGGGGAAACCGAAGTACTCGGGGAAAACCCGCCTCAGCGCCACTTTGTCCACCACAAATCCCACTTGACCTGACCCGGGATCGAAACCGGGACGCCGCGGTGGGAAGCCAGCAACTAACCGTTTGAGCTATGGCGCGGCCTTTTCCCTTTACAGAAACTCAAAGTTCATTACAGGTGAAACAAGGCTCTCACGGCGGTAATTATGAACGACGTTTCGGAGGAACGTACTGCCTCAATCCTTAGAGGCTTGTTGCTTGCTTATTCGGCTTCCTTGAAAATGAAAGCAGTATATTACTCCAAAAGTAGGCAAACTACCAGACTATACGGCGTCACATCCAAGACGATAAAACTCTTCATTCACTAACGTGACCCCCGAGCTCGTCGGTGGATTCTATCCTGAGCCAAATGAATTCAGCCCTTATCCATTCATCGATTTACTTCATGATCCATTTTAATATTATCCTACAGACAATCCACAAAAATAATGTGTTTATTTTGGCTTGCTCATAAGAATGGCCTGGCTAATACGATCCGGCGTCTCGTGCTGACATACATGGCGCCGGTAAGATTTCTGATAGCAACTTGGCAGTCTGTACTCAACTCAATTTCGCTCTTAGTAGAAACAAGATATGAACATCACTGGTAATTGCTGAATAAACCTTTGTCGATGTTTGTTCATGAAGTACAAAGGGCAGTTCATTTCGTACTGCATGAATCAGCGCGTACAAATGATCTAGAAGGATCTATGACACGATATATTCCTCTTGAGATCCGTGCCTCTACAGCCCTTTGTTGGACCTCGAGCTTCTACATGTGCTCTGGTGGTCAGAGTTCCTGGCTACAGAACCAGAGGTCCCGGGTTCGATTCCCGGCACTGCCAGATTTTCTGAGAAGTCTGGAACGGGGTCCGCTCAGCCTCGTGAAGATAACTGTAGTGCTATTTCAGGGAAAAAGCTGGCTCCGGTCTAGAAACCCGAGATTTTTTTTTAATCCTTTCCACAGTCGGTAGGACTCGTTGGTCGGGGTATCGGCCCTGCACAAACAGAATAAACGCACACAGACATCCATGCTTCAAGTGGGATTCGAACCCACGATCCCAGTGCTTGAGCAGTCGCGGCCACTGTGATCGGCACAGTGAAGCTGTAGCTTCAGAATTCTTAACCTCAGGTTTGGGTGGAGATGAATGGACTGCTTCTGGCTTCGGCTGGTTTATTCCCAGGGAAAGAATTTTCATTATGAATTAACCGGGCCTTGGAAGGTACAGGCTAAAAATATACAATGGACACGTACATATGAGACTGGAAAGCAGAAGAGAACCGAGATGCAGTACAAAAACAAGCTGTTCCCCAGACATAATTGCGTTAGAAGGGACGGCCGGAAATAGGCTTTCTGGAAAGTATTACAGCAATACAACTTGAAGCATACCAATATAATTGCTAATTCATTTCGCATTCGGTTTAGCCATGCGTATATACAACCGGTAACAATTCGTTCATAACTATTATTATATCCATCACAAACTACAAGCTCAGGATCCAGCATTAACAAGACTGTATAATGTACAGTTAATGGATAATTTCCGCAGCCCATTCCTCTGAGCAAGAGAAAAGGATGCAATAAAATATCGAGCACGTTTTTCACGTCGCAACTGTGGTTAACCGCCAAACCAGACGGAGCAGAATTAGGGGAATTAAATCTCTCTCCAGTCGCCCACGCAAGTTTAACTGTGTTTGAAGAACCCCGTGACAACAAAAAGAAAGATTTGCCTTGGTATTTCTGACGAATAATTTCAACATTCCCCATGAATGATTGATGTGTGATTACCATTTATTTACCGCCTAAACCGGATAAACGACAACTGAATTACGAATTAAATGAAATTGGAATGTGTGTGTGTAAATAAGACTAATTCATAATTCTATGAGTGCATTATCAGACAGAGAGAGATTTAAATCACAGGACTGGGAATGAACCTTATAGTCTCTTCAGACCTACAAGAAGGAACTTCCAGGACACACACAACCTGAAACAGCAGTACGTATGTTTACTAGTAACCCTTCACAAACGGAAACGGAGGGGGGGGGGGAATTCGCAGATATGCAACAAAATGCTGGGCAGGTGTGGGCCGTGTAGTGTTAACATCAACGGAAAGACAAAGATAGGTTGTCTTTAGTATATCAATGTGGATGTGTGACACAAGGACGCTGATGTTACGTCCACCACGTCACCTCCTAAGAAACATTCTTTCCTGTCTGATTCATGGTTGTTTCCTGCTGAAGCAATCCTGACGAGATGACGCTCTTCCGCGACCCTTTGTGCGAACCTACGAGGTCCGTCGTGTGGCTGTCGGTCGGTCTTCTCAGCGGAGGCATTCCTGGCTTAAGGTCTCCTCGAGATCTATGTTCTTCCTTGGCATGTACGTGTTTAGAATGGGGGGCTACCTCTTCAACAGGAGATGGGTGTTACTCTGTGTAGGTGCTACATCTGTCACACCGCAGTCTCAGCTCCAGTATATCCATCCGCGCTGTCATATAGCTTCCACGTCACTTTAAATGAAAGGTTCAGTAGGAACACGTCCACACACAGCGACATCGGTCGTACGACGTCCGTACGGTTCATGTCGCATCAAGTTGTAGAATATAAAGTGTAGTCTTAGCTTTCATACGTGACGACATGCGGCATCTACCGTACGGCAGTCGGACCAGGCCACAACTTCATCTCGCCTTTGATTGATTGGGTGCACCCAGTGCAATCTTTCCTGCTGCTTCAGGTTTTCTTTTCGGCGTCCGTGAAAATACCACATAGCAAGTACGCGCTCTCGGTCCATCGTTCATTGTCCCTTCGGTGCGGATAAAGTCGCTCTAGTGTGAAAAGGAGGTCGTACAGCAAAAAATAAATCGTAAGACGTTTTTCCGTACGACCGATGTCGCTGTGTGTGAACATGCCCTAAGACGAGTCACCAAACGCTCTTGGGAACGCGGCCGAAGACGCAACCACGCTCTCCTAACAGCGGAGTGCTGCAACTTCAAACGGAAGCTAATTCCGTACAAATGTAGCTTCTTCAGTTCGATGCATTCACTTTGAACTTAAAGGTGTCTAATGACAATGTTAAAACAAAAAATAATGGCTAATAGAATCCAAGACTTCAAACCAATCATGAAATATAATAACATAAACTTGAACGGGAAGAATTTGGCACTAATTGCAAACAATCCAGACATAAACTATATACTCTTCACGAGTGTCATGAAGGAAAAGAATTTACACGAGACATACTGTACACATGACTTGCACCGACACTGCCTTTCTTTCAATGGCTGGAGATGGAGATCACACAAAAAATACTCAATTAATTTCACTCAATAAAGGAATGTACAATAACACGGACAATTTGAAGCAGTAAGATGGCCAACTACCACCGTACAGTCTTCAAGAAACGTAGGGCCCATTATCTAGAAATGAATGATAAGTACATCAATCAAGTCCGAATTACTTAATCACGTAATGTGATATTTAAAAAAGCCGGACTTTTTTTGCGGGCCATCAACGACACTTCAGTACCGGGGATACAGTATGGCGTATGACAGTTGAACGAAGAATTATAAAATACAGTAAAACCTGACTTAAACGGAATCTCAAGGGATCAGAAAAAATTTCCGCTGAATCCAGGTTTTCGTTTAATCAAGGTATACTATAATACCTAAACCAGGACATAAACGTATTTGAGACAAAACAAAACAACATGCTCATTAATTTATTCACACAACAATCATTGAACACATGCAAACATTACACTGAACAGCAAAAAACTGCAGTACTCACTTTTTATAATTTTACCACAACTCCGGCAGAGTTTTTTGCACGCAGTTTACTCTCTTGGCTGCCTGACTTTCCACAGACACTTTAGCTTGAGAAAGAGTAAGCATGTCTGAAGCATTCCGTTGCAAGGCAAACTCCTGCAGTACCTTTAAACTGTTGACAGCATCCTGATAAGTCTTCACTCTACACTTTTCTTCTTCTTTCGGAATGTCTTCCTCTTCCTCCTCCTCCTCTCTTCCTTTTCGATTTT